GAGAGAATTTTTAATATTTATTTTTTAGTTCTCGGCGGACACAACATCTTTGTTGGTATGTGGTGCTGAGGATCGAACCCGGGCCGCACGCATGCCAGGCTAGCGCGCTACCACTTGAGCCACATCCCCAGCCCAACATACATGCTTTTTACATCTGAAGAAATTACTCATCATTTGGTGAGAGAACATGGTATCAAGGCTGGGCGCGGTGGCACATGCCTGCAATCCCAGCGGCTGGGGAGGTTGAGGTAGAAGAATCGCAAGTTCAAAGGCAGCCTCAGCAAAAGTGAGGTGCTAAGCAACTCAAGAGATCCTRTCTCTAAATAAAATATAAAATAGGGCTGGGAATTAGCTTAGTTATCAAGTGCCCCTGAGTTTAACCCCCTGTACTAAAAAAAAAAAAAAAAAAGAAAATTTGGGAAAAGGAGGGTATTACAAGAAAATAAGAACCACTCATGGGGATATAGCTCAGTTGGTAGAGTGCTTTCCTTGCATGCACAAAGCCCTGGGTTCGATCCCCAGCACCCMAAAACCCCCCAAACAAACAAAAACAATAACAAAAAATAAGAACCACTCATAACCTCACAGTCTAGAGAACAACATTTCAAATACATTTGCACACTAATTTTATTATTTTTTCCTAAGCATTTGATCTTTTATTAGACTTCAGCAGCCTTGGGGATATGATTGAGATCACATTAACAAACATAATGAAAACTTCTCTGGCTGTAGCATCTGCTTGCTGTGTAAAATAACCTCCAATAAACTGTTCTGTCTCCTAACTTCTCTCTCACCTATTTCTGGAAGTCCCTTGRTGATAGAACAATTATTGTAAAGATAGGAATACAGGATATTCCCTAATGTGTCTATAAGACTGACTATGACAATTTTAGGTCAGAGATTAACTATGTAGTGTTTTTTAAATTTCTTCTTTGTTGCCTAGCATGGTGGCACATACCTATAATCCCAGAAACCTGGGAGGCTGAGGCAGGAGGATTGCAAGTTCAAGCTAGCCTCAACAATTTAGTGGGTCCATCAGTCACTTAGACAGACCGTGTCTCAAAAGGGTTGGTGATAGGTCTCCATAGTTAAGCACCCTGGGTTCAATTCCCAGTACAAAACAAAAAAACAAAAAAACTTTGGTTTTTCTTGAATGCATTTTACTTTATTTTAAATTCCTGGCACTTTTTAAGATTATTAACATAGTACTTATGTGGCACAGGCCAATGATTATTTGTCATTTGTAATTAAAACAATCTAGTATTTTTCTAGTGAGTGTTTTTTTTGGCTGGGGATAGGATACCAGGAATCAGACTCTAAGACTTATCTACTGAGCCACATCCCCAGACCTATTTTGTATTTTATTTAGAGACAGGGTCTCACTGAATTGATTAGCACCTTGCTTTTGCTGTGGCTGCCTTTGAACTCRTGATCCTCTTGCCACAGCCTCCCGAGCAGCCGGGATACCAGGTGTGTGCCACCGTGTCCAGCTCTAGTGAAATGTGTTTTTTTTGGGAGGATAGTGGAAATTGAACTCAAGGACATTCAACCACTGGGCCACATCCTTAGCCCTATTTTGTATTTTATTTAGAGACAGGGTCTCACTGGATTGCTTAGTGCCTCGCTGTTCTTAAGGCTGGCTTTGAACT